TGACCAATCACCACTCCCCCCTACCTGCATCCACCTATCACCACCCCACCTTCCTTCCCCTAGCCCCACCCCTCCTCCCTCTATTTATTTCCCAGCTCTCTTCCCCCTCCCCAGTTCTGAAGAAGGGTCCTGACCCAAAACGTCAACTTTCCTATTCCTCTGATGCTGCCTGATCTGCTGTGTTCCTCCAGCTCTACACACATCAAAAGTCAATACTTCAAACAGAGGAGGCAATGGCCTAGCGGTATTGTCGCTGGACCATTAATCCAGAGACCCAGCTAACAGTCTGGGGACCCAGGTTCAAATCCTGCCACAGCAGATGGAAATTGAATTGAATAAAATATCTGGAATTAAGAATCTAATAATGACCATGAACCCATTGTCGATTGTCAGAAAAGCCCATCTGGTTCACTAATGTCGTTTAGGGGAGGAAACTGCCATGCTTACCTGGTCTGGCCTACATGTGACTCTAGATCCACAGCAATGTGGTTGACTCTAAACTGCCCTCTGGGCAATTAGGGATTGGCAGTAAATGCTGCCTCGTCAGCAATGCCCTCATCCTGTGAATGAATTTAAGAAAATGGAATAACTCCCTTTCAGGATTGACTTCTAAGTTTAAAGGTGAATTAAAACATAAACTGAAAATCCATTTACAATCTTCCTCCTAACCGCTGACAGTGTCTGCTGGAAGTTTGTCCTTGGCAAGTCTCATTCACTTTTTGGTTGTTCTGTCTTTAAAAATTCATGTGGTTGCATCTTCAGATGCATGATTGAATGCGTTGGCAGCAATATGTGATATGTTGTCCCTTTGTTCTTGATGTTCCAGATAAGAATGCATTGACCTTAGTGAGTTCATGGGCTGTATGTCCACCAGCCAACTGTGGTGTGATTCACAATATAAACAAATAAATCACTCCCTGAAAGTGATAGCTCTTGTGCAAGTAAAAGTTGTTGACATAGAACAACTCTCCATTCAAACAAAGCACAGAGGTTGATTTAACTGAATGTGGTTCTCTACAGGCTGTATTTATACTAAATTTATACCATTGGTGTAAATTAGATACACTTAATGACATTAAGAAGTTGTCCTTTTAAGATCATCGTATTTCTATTTGCTGCAGAGCTAACTTGGACCCTGGATTTAGACTGCAGCCAAAAGAAAATTGGCTCGCATTATTACGGGTCATTACATTCAAAGTGTGAAATCCCCAGGGCAACTGTATCCAGGAAGATTCAACAATAGCTGGTGTCACTGCAACGCACAGTGAAGTCTAATGCTATTTGGACAGCAGACTTCAAGAGGTGGTCATCCTGCAAGTGTATACAGGCAGAGAGGGAATCAGTGACTACCAGACAGATGAGGACCAGCAAGTAGGCAGTGTAGGATTTTTCTGAATGTGTCTAGTTTTCCGATTGGTATTTATCGATGTGCGTAGTTCGTGTGGGGAATGCAACCAGACCCAGGTCCAGTGCATGTAGGGTAGCTCAGCTGTATAGGAGAGCTGGTGTTTGCTTTTGTTTTTATTCATTCATGGGATCTTGGTGTCACTAACTGAGCCAGCATTTACTCTGCACCCCTAATTGCCCCTCAAAAGCTGGTAGTGATCTGCCTTCAGGAACTGCTGCAATCCATTCTTGTAAGTACACCCACAATGCTGTTAAGGTGGAGGGGTGGCAGTCCAGGATTTTGGAGCAGCAATGTATTTCCAAGTCAAGTTGATGAGTTGCTTGGAGGGGAACTTGCACATATTGGTGATCCCATGTGGAAGCTCTTGACGTTCTAGGTGGTAGTGGTTGTGCGTTTGGGAGGTGATGTCTAAGAAACCTTGATGAATTTCTGCCGTGTACACATCTGTTACTGAGCATTGGTGGTGGAGGGAGTGAATGTTTGTGGTTATGGTGCCTGCTACATTGACTGCTTAGACTTTATGGTGTCAAGTTTCTTGAGAACTAGAGCTGCACTCAATCAGGCAAATTGAGTATTCTAACATACTCCTGACTTGTAGATTGTGGACAGACTTTGGGGAGTCAGGAAGTGAGTTATTTGCTGCAGGATTCTGAGCTCCTGACCTGCTCTTGTATTAATATAGCTAGTCTGGTTTAATTTCTGGTCAGTAGTAACCCCTATGATGTTAGTGGGGATCCAGTAATGATAGTGTCATTGAATGTCATGGGACAATAAGATTCTGTCTTGTTGGAGATGACACTCTGTGGCAAGAATGTCACTTGCCACCCTTCAGCTCAAACCTGGATATTGTCCAGACTTTCAACATTTGGTCATGGATTGTTTCAGTATTTGAGGAGTTTTGAATGTTCCGGAATATTGTGTAATTATTAGCAAATACCCCTACTTGTGACCTTATGATGGAGGGTAGGTGTTTGGAGAAACAGAAGATAGTTGGTGTAGGATGCTACACCCTGAGGAACTCCTGCAGAGAGGTCTTAGAGCTGAAATGACTATCTTTGTATAACCACAACCATCTTTCTTTTGGTGCCAGCTGTGCACACAATTCCAATCAACTGAGGCATTCTTCTCCCCACACCACCCCACCCTCCAGTCACTCTGACCCGACCTCACCTCACCTCTGGAATTCAGCTGTTGTATCCATGTTTGAACCCAGGCTGTCACGAGCTGTGTGGCACTGGCAGACCCCAAACTGAGTGTCAGTGAGCAGGTTCTGCTAAGCAAGTGTTGCTTGATACATTGACACCTTTTTTCACTTTCTTGCTGATCAAGAGCAGACTGGGACAGTAATTGGCCGGGTTGGATTTGTTCTGCTTTTTGTGTACAGACATGCATAGGCAATTTGCCACCTTGGCAGATAGATGCCAGTGCTGTAATTGTACTTGAACAGCTTGGCTATTGTGGCTAGTTTTGCAGCATACGTCTTCATTACTATTGCCAGAATGTTGTCAGGGCCCATAGCATTTGTAGTATCTTGTGCCTTCACCCATTTCTTGATATTACGAGAAGTGAATTGAATTAGCTGAGAATGGCATTTGTGTTGCTGGGGACCACGGGAGGTGATCACAATAGATCATTCACTCGGCACTTCTGGCTGAAGAAGGATGCAAATGCATCGGGCTTGTCTTTTTGCACTGATTTGCTTAGCTCCTCCATTATTGAGGATGGACATGTTTGTAGAGCCTTCTTTACCATCATTCGTGACCTGGATATGGCAGGCCTGCAGAGCTTTAACCTGATCTGTTAGTTGGTATTGATAACTCTGCCTGTCACTTGTTGCTTCTGGTGGTTGGTAAGTAAGTAGTCCTTATTTTGTAGCTTTAATAGGTTAACAACTCATTTGGTTATGTCCAGTGCTGCTCCTGGCAGGCCCTCCTGCAGTCTCCTTTGAACCAGGGTTGGTGTCCTTGCTTCAGCATAATGGTAGACTGTGGGATTTGCTGGACCATAAGGTTGTAGATTAAGTACAACCCTGATGATGGTCTGCAGTGCCTCCTAGCTGCCCGGTCTTGATTTCCTCCTGTTGGAACTCTATCACATGTAACATGCTATTTGTGCCACACAACACTATGTAGGATATTCTCAATGTGAAGGAATGACGTATCTCCAAAAGGACTGTGCTGTCGTCACTCTTGCCAATATTGGTATGGTTGATGCATCTGTGGCAGGCAGATTGATGAGAATGAGGTAATTGTTTTGTTCCCTCTTTTGGTTCCTTCACCTGACACAGACCCAGTCTTGCTTCTTTTAGGACTCAACCAGTTGGTCAGTATGGTGCTGCCAAATCAATCTTGGTAGGCATTGGAATCCCCATCCAGAGTACATTCTGTGCTCCTGCCATCCTCAGTGCATCCTCCATGTGGTATTCAATTAGGAGGAGTACTGATTCATCAGTTGAGGTGAGTGTCAATATGTGATGATCAGTGCATGTGATGCCACAAATCTTTATGGGGTCCAGGGTCAATGCTGTGTGCTCACATAGCAACTCACTCCTGACTATATGCCACTGTCCTTGCACCTTTACTATGCCTGACCTGCTGGTGGAACAGGACATAGTGAGGGGTAATGATGGTGGTGTCTGCGACATGAGCTGTAAGGTGTGATTCATGAGTATGAATGACAGGCTACTGCCTGACTAGTCTGTGAGACAAGTCTACTAATTCTGGCAGTAGTCAACTGTGCCACCCCCACCCACCACCACCTCCAAATTAGTGAGGAATACTTGCATTGTCTAGGGCAGAGTTTGCTGTTTTCATTCCTGTTACAATAGCTGATGGTAGATAATCTGTCCAATTGAAATGCTTTAAGACTTTATAGCAGTTGATGCAACTCTGGCTTGCTAGGCCATTTCCGAGGTCAGTTAAGTGTCAACCACATGGCGAGTCTGGAATTGCATAGCCCATAGATGGGATTTCCAGTGTTTATACAGTGCTTTCATGGTTATTGTTAGTTTTAATTCCAGGTTTCTCTTAAATTCAGTCACATTATCTGCCAGGATGGGATTCAAATCAAGAGTCTTGGAACATTAGCTGCACCTCTGGATTGTTGATCTAATGACACTACCATTTTACCATCACCTTGGAAAAACCATTGTGATTTGGTGGGGTTCAGGATACTGATGTTTTTGTGGCTGCACTTGAGATTTCAAGATGATATGTTTCCTCTTTCTTGTGCCAACCTGGGTATAGAGCAATCACAAGGCTTTCACTGGCTGCTGAGCAATCTGAGTGGGGAAGGTTGAACATCCAGAGATCATGGTCCATTTCATACCGATTTATATGGATAGAAAGAAGGTTGAGGTAATCCAGGCAAATTTTTAGGAGCAGAGAAGGAGACAAAGAAAAATCTTTCTCCACTTGCGACTCTAATGCTTCAAGCACTGGTTTCTGTTTAATGAAAAACACTGCATTCGTTCGCATCAATCAGTTAAAATGTGAAAATCCAAATTCTAAATGTCTTATGCTGGTCACAGTGTATTTAAACCAATAACATACAGCTACGCTTGTTGTAATAATTTATTTTGTTTTCATCCTAGCATTCCCTTGGTTTGGGATGGATATTGGTGGAACACTTGTCAAACTCGTGTATTTTGAGCCAAAGGATATCACAGCTGAAGAAGAGCAGGAGGAAGTGGAGAATCTGAAGAGCATTAGGAAGTACCTTACCTCTAACATAGCTTATGGAAAAACAGGGATTCGGGATGTGCACCTGGAGCTGAAGAACTTGACCATGTGTGGACGCAAGGGGAACTTGCATTTTATCCGCTTTCCAACACATTCCATGCCTAAATTCATCCAAATGGGTAGAGACAAAAATTTCTCTAGTTTGCATACTACTATGTGTGCAACAGGAGGTGGTGCCTACAAATTTGAAGATGATTTCAGAATGGTATGTCATAGTTGTGCAACCAAATTCTTCTGAGTAAATGCAACAAATGATTTGTTTAGCAGACTATTAAAAACTCTACTACTGTCACTGTTAATTGTGGTATTAGAAATTATTTGAATTTTTTGAACTCATTCTTGGGCAACAGCCTATCATTCTAGTGTACCTTCCCACAGTGCTAATATTTGTTTTGCATTTGGGTAATGAGAGACATGCAATAGCCCAACCATAGTGTAATCAACTTAAGGTAGAAATTTTAACTTTGTTTCCTTAGTTAAATAATCTAATAAGTTTTTCTGTATATATCTGTCAGCATTCCAATACCTCCCTATTACTTGACTCCATTAGAGGTTTGGCCCTGTTTTGACTCCCCTGCTGAAAGCCTCAATCATGTCTTTGCCACTTCTATGCTGTTATTGCAGTGCACTCTGAGCTTGTTTCTCACATTCTTATCTCTACCTTAAAATCATCAAAAACTCTGCAGCCTTTGTGTTAACTTGAAGTTGTGCTGGTTGACTTATGTGGGTTCCTGGTCAAGCAATGTCTTGATCATAAAACACACTTCCTGCCCTTCAAATCTTCCCATGGCTTTGACTCTCTCTTTTTGTAATTTCGTACAACCCCACACACTTCCAAGCTATCTGCACTCCTCTGGGCCTGTTCATCCCAGATTTTAATCTTTGCTTTCTGGTGATTATGCCCCTGGCTGCCTGGGCCCCAAACTCTAGAATTCCCTCTTTATATATATCCGTTACTTTAGCTCACTTTCCTTGCGTGCTTCAGCGTTGTTTTGATTTTCTAATGCTTCTGTGAAGAATCTTGGGAGATTTACTTACATGGAACGTGATTTGTAAATATACATTGTCATTTAGAATATATTTTCTTTCACTGTTTTCATCCCAGTTCCCATTTCTGTATGCTGATTTGCATTTTGCATCAGTGTGCCTGCTGCTAATTTTCAGCTGTTTAGTGTGCTTTGCATTTTTTTCTAATTTGCCATGTCTTTAATGAGGTATTATTAACAAACTTGTACATTGTTCTCATTAAGGCTTGGTATAAACCATTTATGTCCATGGAGAAAGAAAGAGGACCCAATTTGGATCCTGAGCTATGTTACCTATAAGTACCCAACCCAAACTCCTCATGTGGTGCTATCACTGGTCGGGGTCTGAAATCTGATTGTCAAAGCTTCCTTCTGTACCATGCAAAATCTTATAGGTTATTGAGCAGTTTTTTTTAACTGCCTCCAATCTAGAAGTTACAAATTTATTCTGGTTTTAAATGTTTTGAAACTGGTTATAACAGGGAAATAGTTCACATCTGGATTGACACATCTGTTTACTCTTTTTGTATTGCCAAAGAAAGATATGGTTATCCTTTGTGGATTACTTTTCAAGTTAATAAGGATAAAGTATGTTGGCCTATTGCGCGTTTTATATAGAATAATTCCTTTGTTTTAAAAAAAAAACTATACAATGTATATCTAAGTTAATGTTTATTACAGTATTGAGCTTTCTACTGTTCTTTGGGCCAAATGACGTTCAGATGGGTATTTGTAAATCTGTTGTTTATTTGATTACTCCTGTTTTCCAGATGGCTGACCTACAGCTCCACAAACTGGATGAGTTGGACTGTTTAATCCAAGGCCTTCTTTACATTGATTCCATTGGGTACAATGGTCAGTCTGAGTGCTACTATTTTGAAAAACCCACTGACCCTGACCAGTGCCAGAAAAAACCATACTGCCTCGATAACCCTTACCCGATGTTGCTGGTCAACATAGGTTCAGGGGTCAGCATCTTGGCTGTTTATTCCAAAGATAATTACAAAAGGGTAACAGGAACCAGGTAAGCATAACCTTCCCATATTACTATTTATGTATATAAAATACACAGATTTATGATTTTATGCATGATGGTGTGTTTCCATGATGGTGTATTTTATATACCTGTTTAAACTGGAATGGTTTCTGCTTAATTTGCTGTACAGTTTTATACTGACTTTCTGAATTGGCAAGAGGCTGGCGCTGAAGTGAATGGGAAAAGAGGAAATGATCACGGCGATGCGTGGTAGACAAAAACAGGGCTAACTCTTCCTTTTGATTCGGTTCTTTTAATTCGACTACTTTTCTCCCAGCCTCCCTTTTTTTTTCTGTCGACAGTGGGTGCAGAAAGAGAGAAAAGAGATCTGAAGCTTGGTTGTGATATTCGATCATTCCCAATGTCCTCGTGCAAAGTTGATTATGCAACAATCTTGATCATTAGCTTATTCTAGACCAAAGCACTCAAGTCAGTCACAGAACCTTACTGTTAAGTGGCAAATCACCATTGACCAATAATGAACACCTGAGAAATTTTGGATCATAGCTTTATTTTCTGCAGAATGTCAGCAAGCTTGAGTTCAGCTCTTACTATTGTGATTCAGGTCCGCAGAATAGCACTTGATAGTGCTGGTTGCGATTGCAGTAGGTCCAGAGCAGGGATTCTTGGTCATTGACATGGTGGCAGCTGCAGAGCTGGAGACTCCTGGTTGTGGGGAAAGTGTGGGTTCAGCATGAGATTTTGTGTCAGCGAAGTGGGCCCAGCGGCAAAGAGATGGTGCCTAAAGAGTGATGACTCTTCTGTTGGTGGGTCTGGTGCAGGCAGCAGTGAGGTGGGTTGGGGAGGGAGCTGGTGGTGTTGCTGGTGAGCTGACTCATCATGGAGAATAAAGAGACTCTCTTTCAGTTAAATCTTTTTACTCTCTTATTCTTAAAGTATTCAAAATAGCACCAGATTGTGACAACAGTTGAAGCTTTTCACTATTTTACTGTATTATTTGCTGTAAAATACAAGTGACGATAAATCATTCAATTCAGCGAAAATGAGGCCCTGGCAAATTTGCAAGGGGACACTTGCATTCAGCTCTCAAATGAGAAGACAAAAGTAACGAGACCTGGACAATATCCAGCCTTGGGCTGATGAGTGGCAAGAACCGTTTGAACCCCACAAGTGCCAGGCACTGGCCATCTCCACCAAGAGTGAATCTAACCAATCACCCTTTGATTTCACCCCATCAATGAATACCCCACTTATCAATATTCTGGGGCGTGTCATTGACCAGAGGTTGCTATTGGCTACAAGAGCAGGTCAGTGACTAGGAATCTTGCAGTGAGTAACTCGGCACCTGACTCACCTAAGTTTGTCCCTCTTCTACAAGATAGAAGTCAGGAGTGATATGGAATACTCTCCACTCACTTGGATGAGTGCAGCTCCAACAACACTCAAAAAGCTTGACACTATCCAGGGCAAAGCAGCCTGCTTGATGTTTACAGTCGTTTTTTTGAGTTTGTTCCTTCCCTTTGCAACTTACAAAAGAAATGTATTTGTGGTACTTCATTCCAGATTCCTAACTAGTAGAAACAGGGTTTTAGTTTACCCTGTGCCATCCTTCACTCACATTAACAACTTACTACAATTATATCCTTTGCTCCAGTGAAACAAAAGCCTAGTTTGTCTCGACTGTTTTGTATTTCCTCATACTAGGCAGCATTTCAGTAAATCTGCCTCGTACCATCCTCTTGACTGAAGCCTCGTTTTTCGATACTAATGTGTAGAGCTCAATACTGTATGTTGCTCTGTAACCAGGAGTGTCTTATTAACGTTGCATATTGATTTGCCATTACCTCTAGGCTTTAACATGCTGTAATGTTGATAAACCCAGAATGTACTGCCTTCAGTGTTCTGTGAACCTAATGCTCTTCAAAAACAACCAACCTTTAGTATATAAGTTTTGCTAAAATGTATCACCTTAAGGAGCTGAGATTAGCCAGCAAAGATAAATGATCAAAGTCTGTCATTTACATCCATATGTGTGGGCAGTGGAATACTCATCAGTGCATTTACTGCTTGAATCACCTGAGGTCAGGGAATTATGACTTGTGAAGTCTGGTGCACAGCTTGAGTTTGACTTGAACCATTTACCTCAATCATGGTGCAGATATGTGTTTTGAATTGTGAAATGACATTCTCCCTGTTAGTTGCTGCATGTTAACTACTTAAATTGCTTCATGAGTGGCATCAAGACAAGGAAGGTCTCCTGATACTTGACTAGTCTTTAATGAGGGAAGACTAGGGTTTGAAAAGGCTGTGTGCACATCTAATTATGTCAAATGCATGCAGCAACGAGGGACTTCTTTCACAGCTGGACTCATAGTCCACAAAATACAGCTCAACCTTTTTAGTCAATTGTAATTTTCAAGTTGACCATTTCTTCCTTATATTCTCAAAGATCAAAGTTGATATGTTGACTTTAGGCATGGATAGTCAAATATTCAGTCAGGTCAGCCAAAATATGTAGGGAAGTTATGTCACATTGTCTACTGTACATACCACCTTGTTTTGTATTTCTTTATTTTTGGATTGTGGAACAAAATGGGAAAAGGATACTGCTTTAAAGCAAGGACTGTGGAAGGGGTTATTGCTGTCTTATGACTAAAGTCATTGAACGGTAAAGACATTTGCCTTATTCAAACAGTCAGTGCACACTCTTTGGCCCGATGGTGCTTGTTTGGGACTGTTTCATCAGAGACACTAAAACAAAATAATAAAAACTGCGTATGCTGGAAATCTGAAATAGAAACTACTGGAGAAACTGAACAGTTCTAGCAGTGTCTGTAGAAAGAGAAACAGTTAATGTTTTTTGAGTCCAATGAATCTTCATCAGAACATCTGACTTTGAAATGTTAACTCTGTTTCTCTGTCTACAGATGCCAGACCACCTGGGTTTCTCCAACACTTCGTCATTGCTTAGAGAATCTATTACAGCAATAAGGAAGGGTGACATTTAAAATGCTTCCATAATGAAGCCATATGGTTAGAACTTGTAAACCAAATAAGAGCAATCACGTTGCTGGACCTGTACTCTAGACCCTCTAACATCCTGAAAGAGATAGAAGAGCAGATATGTAGGCAAATTTCAGAAGTGTAAAGGCTGTACACATGGGAGCTTTCAACTTTCCAACATTCACAACTATGACTAGCCCAGTTAAAGGTTTAGAGGAAGCAGATTTCTTCATGCGTCTTGGAGAAATTTTTGAGCACGTATATAAAAGGCCTTACAAGAGAGGTGCTGGCCCTGGACTTTAAGGTAATGAATAAGGTGGTTCAAGTATTATTGAGGGATCATTAATGCAGTCAGTGACCATAACTCCATTATATTCCAGATTGTTATGGAAAAAGCCCAGGATGGACCTGAAATCAAAGGTCTAAGCTGAGAAAAGGCTGATTTTAATAAGATACAATTTGGCCAGAGTGGACTAGGAGCAGGTATTTTTAGGTAAATCTGTTTCAGAACAATGGAACACGGTCAAGTAGGAAGTAGGAGAGTACTGGAGTCAACGTTTTCCAAGAAAGGGTGGGGCCAACAGATCCAGTGAACCCTGACTATCCAGGGATAAACAGGATTGGATAAAAAGAAAAAGGGAGTCTTGCAGTAGATACCAAGGGCTCAAAACAGCAGAAGCTGTAGAAGAGTAGGGAATGTGCAAGGGGAAACTTCTCTAAAAAAATAAATTGGGACAAAAGGGGGACATGGGAAAATAAAGGCAGGTAAAATAAAGAAAATTCTAAGATATTTTGCAAGTAAATTAAGGGTTAAAGTATAACTAGGGAAAGAGTAGGGCCTACATAAGAATCACAGTGGTAATTTGTGTGTGGAGCAAGGAGACATAGGCTGGGTTCTGAATGAGTTTTTTGTTCCTTTCACTAGTGACCACCAACAATGTTGGTGCGGAAATTAGGGAAAAGGAGTGTGTGATATACTTAGAAATTAGCATAGACAGAGAGAAGGTTCTGAGTGGTCTCATTGGATTACAAGTAGATTAAATCTCCATGGCTAAGAGCAATGTATCCTAGACTGTTGAGTGAGACAAGGGAGAAAATATCAATGGCTCTGGTGATAATTTTCAATTCCTTTCTGGCTACAGGAGCAGTACTAGAGGACTGGAGAACAGCCAGTGTGCTATCATTAATCAATTAGGAAGAAAGAAAAAAAAACTAGGAAACTACAAGCCAGTCAGTCTAACCTCCGTGGTGGGGAATCAGTTGGAAACAATTCTGAGGGACAGAATTAATCTGCACTTGGAGAAGCAGGGATTAATCAAGAGCATCAGTATGGTTTTGTTAAGGGGAGGTCATGTTTAACCGACTTGATTTGAATATTTTGAGAGGTGATTAAATATGTAGATGAGGGCAATGTATTTGACAGTCTACTTTGTCTTCAGCGATCCTTTTAACATGGCTCCTTATGGGAGACTGATAGCAATGGGAAGAGCCCATGTGATCTGAGGAAATTTAGCAAATTAGATCCAGGATTGGCTTATTTACAGGAAGCAGAGGGGTGTTTTGTGACTGGAATCTTGTGTTCTGTGGAGTTCTACAGGGATTAGTGTTGGGATCTTTGCTGTTTGTGGTGTACATCAGCAATTTAGACTTGAATGTAGGAGGGTTAATTAGTGGATGATACGAGTATTGGTGTAGTAGTAAATAGTGAGGAGGATTGCCTTCTATTACGGGAGGAAATAAATTGGGCTGATCAATCTGGCTCAGTGTGAGCTGATTCACTTGGGCAGGTCAAACAAGACAAGGAATACGTGTTAAATGATAGGACCCTGGTGTGCATGTTACTGGTCCCATAAAGTAACAGGGCAAGAAAATAGTGTCTAAGAAGGCATGTGGGATTCTTGCCTTTATTAGCCAAGGCACAGAGTTTATGAGCAAGGAGGTTGTCCTGGAACTGTTTACTCATTGTGGCCTAACCATTTTTTGTTGTGCCGTTCTGGAATCCGCACTGTAGGAGGGATGTAATTGCACTGGAGAGGGTGCAGAGGAGATTTACCAGAATGCTGCCTAGGCTAGAAAGTTTTTTTTTTAAGTTATGAAGAGAGATTGAATTGACTGGTGTTGATTTCTTTGGAGCAGAGGAGACTGAGGGGGTACTTGATTAGATGTATAAAATTAAGTGGGTCATGGGCAGGGTAAATGGAAAAGAACAATTCCCTTTGGAAGGATCAGTGGCAAGGGGGCATCAGTTTAAGATAAGGAGTAGGGGTTTAGAGAAGGTAAGAAATATTTTTCACTTGGATGGTCATGGGAATCTGGAACTCACTGCCTGTAAGGGTGACATAGGCAGAAACCCTAGACTTTTAACAAGTAATTAGCTGTAAAATTGTAATGCCGAGGCATACAAGGTTTTGGCTGGAAAATGAGATTAGAATAGTTAGGTGATTTGTTTTTGACTGGCACAGACATGATGGGCCAAAGGACCTTTTTCTGTGCTGTAGACCTCTTACAGTAACTGTATGGATATTATATCATGTTTAAGCTGTTATTGTTAGTAAATGTAACCTGTACTGAGTTTTGTTTTTAATGAGCAGTTGCTTCATATTTAACCTCTTCCCTCTTCCCCTCAGTCTTGGTGGAGGAACTTTCCTTGGCCTGTGTTGTCTCCTAACTGGATGTGAAACCTTTGAAGAAGCTTTAGAAATGGCAGCGAAAGGAGACAGCACTAATGTAGATAAACTCGTTAAGGATATTTATGGAGGAGACTATGAACGGTTTGGCTTAAGTGGATGTGCAGTAGCTTCCAGGTAAGTCCCAAGTGAACAGCCTATTTGTAGTCATGGAATAGGATAGTACTGATGGAATCTTCATTCTTTGTACTTGGGCATGGGATAATATGCTGTCTATTACACACAAATTTGAAGGGTGGGTGAATGCTACTTTCCTGCGAATGTATTCATTTGTATTTATAAAATATTCAAGGAGCATTTATAAGATCTGCTTGTGCAAGCAATTCGAGATCATCATCCTCCTCTTCAGAAACTGCTGGGAGGTCTTGCAGCAAGGAGAAAACATGGCAGTCAGTAAACTCTGCCTGCTTGCTCCTCTTCCTCTGTTTTAAAAAAAAATTCAGGTAATTTCACTGGGCCTTGAAAGATTTCTGTCTGTAGTATTGTTGGGCCTTGACTGACACACTGAATGCTGGCTTAAAATTTGCTGGAGTCAGCCATGTTCAGAGAGTGCTCAGTTATCCTTTGCCATTTAGCTCAAATACATTGCTTTGTAAGTATGAGAAACAGAGCAGCAACTGGGATGAATGAGATACAATTGAGAGCATAAGGGAAAAATAGAAAAGAAAATCTTCAAATTTATAATCTCTAACAATTTACCAATATAAGAGTGATCCCATAGTTCAGTTTCATTTGTAAAATTATTGGCCTGACAAGATTGTGTTTTACTACAAGTACATAAATCTGGTCATTGATTCCATACAAATGATATCAAGTCTTCGCACAGTATTTCTGTGGATAGTTTAATTGAGTTAATGTTCAATGCATCAATGTAAAGAAGCTCATTAGGGAGGTTGAGGGTGAGCCGCTGTTTTTGCAAAGTGGATGGCTGAGTACAAATCATCTGTTGATTTGTCTTGATTTGCAATTTACTACCTTGCTTCAAGTTGCTGGAGGATTTGCACATTATTAATGGGAAGTCACACTTGCTTTTTTTTTGCTTTTATGGCACACCTAAGATGAGCCTGTTACCAGTGAGAAGGAGGCAGGCTGGTGCAAATATAATTGTTGTCTGCTTCAGTACCTAAATTCCCAGAAACCTGGCACGTACAAAATTGCAAAGGGGCAAAAAAAAATATTAGAAGTGCATATATTTGATTATTGTCCTGCTCAGCGTTGCACATAGTTCACACAGCATTGTTTAAGCTATCTTATAGTTTGTTTTTATCATTCTGGATAAATAGATGTTTCCCTAAAGAGAAGTTTCTATTAACAATCCAACAACTTCCTATTAGCACTTACTGATTGATTAACCTGCCTTCACAAGATTTGAACTTGCATTCTCCGCTTTATCAATCTCTCATCTGGGCATACCAGTACAGTAATCTACCCGTAATACTATTATACTAATAAAGTAAAACCATGAAAATCAGGTTTTGGTTGTAGCTAGAGTGAAATTCTATTCTCTGCGTTATTGTTGAAGCTTCTGAAATTGTTAATTGCTCTCAACAAGCTCTGGATATTTCTGCAGTGGCCACTTTCACACATTTAAGATGAGGAAGCAAGGCAGTTGGCACAATATTCTGCAATTCACCTGTAGTCTTGATGCCAAATTATATTGTAGGACATCGGTACAGATTAGTAAAGGATGAGGACCAGTGATATTAGGTATTTTCTAATCAACCTGTTCAGAGATGTTATTGCACATCTCTGAAGCAGGCGGGTCTTGAACCGATGCTTCCTGGCTCAGAGGTAGGAATGCTACCACTGTGCCACAGAGCCCTATCAGTAGTATTTTAGATGATGGCAAAAGAATTTAAATAACAAAGTTCAGCCCTATTATAGTTTATCGTAGTCTGAACAGTGGAAAGGAAATGGAGGATGACATTTGTTGACCTTTTAGCGAGACATGTATTAGTGTCAGTAATTATAGATTATAATTAGCTAGTAAATTAGAATATGGAAAATGGTTACCAAGAAAAGGTTTTGTTTCTGCAGTGTTCAGAATAGTTTTTTTTGGTGAATACGCCAGCAAAGAAAATAGCATTACTTCACTTGGTTTTGTTTAATGAAGTGGAATTAATATGTACTTAGAAGTGGAATGCGTTTTGAGAAAAAGTAACTGCAGTATAACTAGAGCCATTGAGACATAGAGGTGTCTACAGCATGGAAACAGGCCCTTTGTCCCAACTTGCCCATGCCGCCTAGTTTGCACAATTAAACTAAACATTTGCCTGCATTTGGTCCATATCCCTCCATACCTATCCTATCTGTGTACCTGTCTAAATGTTTCTTAAGTGACAAAATTGTACTTGCTTCCACCAATATCTCTGGCAGCCTATTCCAGATACTCACCACCCTCTGTGTGAAACAGTTGCCCCCCGGACCCATTTGTATCTCTTCCCTCTCACCTTTAAACCTACAACTTCTAATTTTAAACTCTCCTACCATGGGGAAAAGCTATTGGCTATTATCTTATTTATGCCTCTGTTGATTTTATAGACCTCTACGGTCACCATTGTGTCTGCTATGCTCCAGGGGAAAAGTCCCAGCCTATCCAACCTTTTCCTATAACTCAAACCTTCCAGTCCAGGTAGCATCCTAGTAAATCTCGCCTGCATTGTTTCCAGTTTAATAATATCCTTTCTATCGTAGGGTGACCAGAACTGCATGCAGCACTCCAAATGTGGCTTCACCAACAGCAGTGAGATGTCCTAGCTCCTATACTCAATGCTCTGACTGATAAAAGCGAGCATGCCAAAAGCCTGTCTATCTGTGACTCCACTTTCAAGGAGCTGTGAACCTGTACCCCTAGATTTAGTTGTTCTATAACACTCCCCAGAGCCCTGAAGTTGATTCTGAAGTCTGGCCCTGGTTTGACTCTTCAAAATGCAACACCTTGTATTTATATAAATTAAACTCCATTTGCCATTCCTCAGTCCACTGGCCCAGTTGATCAAGATCTTGCTGCATTTCCAGATATCCATCTTCACTGCCCACTATACCACCAATCTTGGTGTCATCTGCAAACTTAATAACGATACCTCCTAAATTCTAATCCAAATCCTTTATATAAATGGCAAATAACTGGGCCCAGCACCAATCCCTGTGGCACACAGCGGGTCATAGGCCTCCAGTCTGAAAAACAACCCTTTACTACCACCACCCTCTGTCTTCTACCATCAAGCCAATTTTGTATCAAAATGGCTAGCTCTCCCTGGATCCAGTGAGATTTAATCTTACTCAACAACCTACCGTGTGGTACCTTGTCAAAGGCCTTGCTAAAGTCCATGTGGACAACGTCTACTGAACTGCCCTCATTTACTTTCTTGGTCATCCCTTCAAAAAGCTGAATTAAATTCGTGAGATACAATCTTCCATGCATAATACCATGCTGCCAATCTCAAATGAGTCCTTGCCTCTTCTAATGCCCTTAGATCCTGTCTCTCAGAATCCCCTCATACAACTTACCCACCACAGATGTTAGGCTCACTGGTCTGTAGTTCCAAGGCGTTCCCTCATAGTCTTTCTTAAATAGCGACACAAATTAGCCATCCTCAAATCTTTGGACACTTCACCTGTGGCAGTTGATGATACAAATATCGGGGCCTCTAGGGGCCCTGCAGTTTCCTCCCTTGCCTCCCACAAAGTCTTGGGATATACTTCATTAGGTCGCAGGGATTTATTTACCTTTTAATATATGTTAAGATTTCCAGTACAACCTCATCTGTAATGTGGAATGTCTTCAAGACATCACTGTTTACTTCCCCAAGTTTCCTAGCATCCATGTCTTTCTCAACAGTAAATACTGATGAGAAATATTCATTGAGGATCTCAGCCATGTCTTGTGGCTCTGCACATAGACGACCTTGTTGATCTTTAGGTGGCCCAATTCTCTCCCTAGTTAATCTTGCCCTTCATGTACTTGTAGAACCTCTTTGGATTTTCGTTTTACCTTAGCTTTACCTCTGCCAAGACCAAAAAGGAAGTTGGATTGGAACAATATGGTGAGCTGTATTCCACAGAATTCACTGTTGGAATTGCACTTATTTATCGAAGATGTGAATGATCTAAACTTTGAAATAGATATTTTGAAATCTGTTGATACTTCCTTTTGAAAGAGGAGTGGGGCTTGTGTGAAGAATTGGTGTAAGTTTTTTGTGCAATTCCTCCCCCAAAAAAAGCCATCCTCCTAGTCTAGAGTAAATAGGTGGTAGAAATAAAAATATTTGGAAGTAAAAGATAGGACAAGGGAAATATAACTTAAATAGTAAGAGAATGAATGAAGAATCTGTGGCATAGAATTACACAGGTCATTTAAGATGGCAGCCAAGTACAGAAATCGTTAAATGATGCAACTGCGATATTTAGTCTTTTGTCTAGAATAAAAAAGTCTGAAAGTTCAAGACTAATTGCAATGATGATGGTCGTTGTAGTTTTAAACACCTCATTATAGAAATATTATGGAAATAGTGGGAAAAGTGCAGTGAAGATTCACTTGGAGTTTCTTCAAGGCTGATGAGAGATTTGAGAATTTGGTGCTTTTTCATTTAAAATTGAAGAGTTGCAAACCAATCTGCTGGATATCTACAATATTACAAAAGCAAGAATAAAGGAGGAGTGACATTTCCTGTGGTTGAAATGAAGTGTACAAGTTTAAGAAGATAGCTTCTTAAAAAATAAATGAGAAATTGGGAAACAAATGCATTATAGTGGGATTGAAGGGGCTGATCGGTTTACCTGCAGTTCCTGAAATACCTTTGTTACTGTGGAGAAACATACAAGGTATCAAATCTGTGCTAGTAACATTCTATCATGATTTTGAGAATGAATAATTATTGCGTTAGAAAGCTAATTTTATGACAAACTCCAGTTTGGTATAAATAATCATACTGTTAGATTTGACTGGATCAAATGTAATTGCTTGGAAGTTGGCTGTGTAACAATCGAAATTGAACTCTGTGCTTTTGCATGATCTGTAAACTCTCTTGTCTAATTATGTTGTTATGCTTGTGTGAGTAGTAGTTTGCTTTGTCTGTGGATGAACAGATTGATTAACAAATGCTCATGAAGGTTATTTTTAAGTCTTCAAAAGCCATTTTGTCTACCTGTGTTTCATTTTTTTTTCTCCCAAAGTTTGAGGAACGTTTTAGATTCTCAGCCATTATGAATAATCTGAAAATTTCTACTGATGTCTTTAGCCATAGTTTTTTTCTAAATTTATGCAGCTTTGGTCACATGATGAGTAAGGAGAAACGGGATTCCATTAGTAAGGAAGACTTGGCCAGAGCGACTCTGGTCACTATTACAAACAACATTGGATCCATCGCTCGAATGTGCGCATTGAATGAGGTAAGCATTTGTTAATGGACAATGCCTCATTGCTCAGTTATAGTATTTGTGTCAATTGCAGTAGATTGAGGTATGAGTATATCAGAGGGCAATGAATTAAAAGAAAAGTGGAGTCTGAATGATTGCAGTCTAGAAAGGCCTATTTGTAATTTTTCATTTGTTCAAATTGTCTGCTATTTTAATATTTTGGTAGCGCTAAAGTCTGCTTACTGTGATTCACATCGCTGAATTAAAATAGTTGTAAATTTCAAACTATTTTCAGCAATGCTAACTTGATTAAAATAGACTGCTGTTACTTCTTGCATTCTATTGAAATTCAGAAACAGTGGAATATTTATTTGTTACTTGACACAAAGATTCTTATATTTGTCTGAACATGTCTTTAGATCTGTCAGGAAATCTGAATGAGCCTATGAATTCACAATTCCATGCCACTGCTTCCAGTTTGGGAAATGGTTTTTCTGATTTCAGTTTCAATCCTTGCTTCAACTTCTAAGGGACATCCCATTGAGAGCAAACATGTATGAGTTAAACCATGTAGATGTATGCTGACTGTACCCATATCACTCCAGCTCCCACCAAAACAAAGTATCAAAGAATTTCACTGCACATTTAAGCAGCCCTTGCTAGATCCTGAATCTAAATTGGAGATGTGAATGTCGGGGCAAAATCAACTTGTTAATTCTATAGTCGATAGAAAGTAAGAGCAAATAATATATATTAAACATCCTTATAATAAAGTAGGTGTATTATCGATCTCTTGGAGTTACCAAATAGTTCAGCATTTTCTCAACACAGAGTGCCAATGAATTATTGAAAGTAAATTATTTATATATGTAATGGGATAACACCAGAGATTTTGTTCTAAAACCAATTCTGAAGCTATGGTCATATGCTGTTCACATAGGTTGCTAGTACGCGACAATATCACACTACATACATTCCAATCTTACTGGACTACAAGCGTAACGTGTGGGATAGATAGGCTCATGTAGCTTGGCTACAAACTTCACACCTTTTAAAGGATGATAACAGTTGAAGAGTAGTCATGTTGGCTCCTAAATAGCTACAATTATTGAACCCCTTGCAATTTCAGAAGCAGTAACTGGACACCAATTCCTTACTTGGCATTCTCCTATGGAATACAAATGGCTTGATCTAATCCATGTCAGTTTAAATCAAATGAATGGTATACATTTACCTAATGCAATGCTCTTAATACAGAGTCAATTTAACCATTATTTTAATTGCAATACATACTACTGTACAGCTTGTTGCTTCCTTCAGTCCTCCTTTGAGGAAAGTAACACCAACAGTGAGCCTTCGCTAGAAGAGAGGATGAGAGTTGGGCCAGATCAGATGGGCTATAATCCTCATTGCATGCTGATCCAAAAATACTAAATAATAAACATTATAGAGGTTTAACTTCTACAAGAGAGCAGGGATTCCTGAAAATCGTATTTGTGCAGAACCGAAGAAACGTTTTTTTTATTCTGCCAAATAAATTCACCTGACTTCTCTGGGTCTCTGACACATTGTCAGACCCTGAATTGTCACTCATGCTTTGCTTTCTGCTTTAAGCATCACCACCACTCCACCCACCCTATTCCTCTGTCAGGAAAAGGCCATTCAACCCCTCAAGCCCATTCAAACATTCAGTTAGATCATGGCTGACCTCTACCTCTGCTCCATTTACATGTCTTTCCTCTGAATCCTCTGTGGAGGTGCCGGTGTTGGACTTGGGTGGACATGGTCAAAAATTACATGACACCACATTCTAGAGTCCAACAAGTTTATTTGAAGACACCAGCTTTCAGAGTCCCTGAAGGAGTGAGACTCCGAAAGCTTGTCTTCAAACAAACCTGTTGTACTATAAGTTGGTCTCGTGATTTATCTCCCAATCATTTAACAGCCTACTTCACAACATTACAGTAAAATCTACCAGCTTTTGATTTAGCTAAATCTTTTATGTCTGGAACCTGATCATATTCTTCTGGAAGTCCATCCTGGCAACATCCAGTGATGCTCTTCTATTCTCAATGCAAGTACTTTCTCAAATATTTCAATTAGATTAGTCAGGCATGATCTCTGTTTTGCAGATCTGTCTGAATCAGCTTAGAGTCATAGAGCCATACAGCATGGAAACGGATCTTTTGGTCCAACTAATCCATACTGACCGCGTTCCCAAACAAAACTATTCCCACCTGCCTGCGTTTGACCCATATCCACCTCCCCACCAAACCTTCCCTATTCATATACTTACCCAAATGTCTTTTAAATGTTGTAATTGTATTTGCATCTGGCTCGTGCTCTGGCATCATTCCACACGCTAACCGCTCTGTAGAAACAAAAATTTCCCCTCTTGTCCTCTTTAAATCTTTCTCCGCTCACCTTAAAAATATGCCCCCGAGTTTTGACCTCCACCTACCTTAGGAAAAAGACCTTTACTATTCACCTGAACAACGCCCCCTCATGATTTTATCGACCTCTATAAGATCACTCTTCAACCTCCTATGCTTCAGTGAAAAAAGTTCAAGCTTATTTTTATAACTCAAGCCCTCCATTTCTAGCAACATCCTGATAATCTTTTCTGAATCCTCTCCAATTAAATAATATTCTTCCTATAACAGCTTATTCTTGTTGTAGTGCTCTGGGATTCTTTTGCAGGACTATATTTGTCAGAAATTGTACATTACACAGCAAAGCAAATGAATCTTCCCACTACCTGATGTGGCACATGGCATGTCTCTGACATTCTGCAGTATTCATTACCTTGCAAGTTTTTTTTTAGCTGCTCCTCTTTGTTTTTCCACAGCGGTAACATTGTTTCTCCAACATAGCTGACAGGGTGGCCCCAATTTTAACTGAACTTAAACCTCAGCTGATAAATACTGGGTGGAAAGTGAGAGCTAAATTAAGGGTGATGTTTTATCCAGTCATCCTGTTGTCTTTGTTACTGCTCAGAATATTGCCCACCTATGTTGAGCAAGTGATGAGGATGTCTGCAGCAGTTTGGGGCCTGATCGTGTGCAATTTGTGTTGCCATTTCTCTATCATGACAAAACTGTCAGAAGGGAATCTTTGGCTTGGAAGCTAAGTTATTAAGTAAGTTTAAGAGAGATTGATAGATTTCTTGTTATTAATGACATCAAGAGATATGGGAATATGGTGCTGAGTTAGATGATCAATGACCTAGAATGACGGAACAGACTCAAGGGGCTGTTCTTGCATTCTTAATAATATCTCAATAAAAATTTGAAAACCTGAGTTTTACTCCATGAAAAAAGGTACCATAGAGCACAGTATTCTATAGTCAAGTCTATGATTATGATGATCACTGCTTGCATAGTTGGTCTTTTTAAAAAAAAAAAAAAAAAAAAAATCCAATTCGAAGATGCTGTGAATCGAGTTCAAATCAGTCCTGACATATTCTCAGCACTTTGAGCTTCTTTACAGTGTTGCCTTGTAGCATGGAGATCAAGCAGCATTGTACAGGGCTATCAAAGTGCAGGGACAGTCATCTTGGCTGCAGTGATACAAGTCTTCTATTTGTGTTGCGCACAACCATTGTTTGTGGAAATGTATATGGACAACCACATCATAACTTGTGAATTATCATTTTAGCCGAAGGCCTTTTTAAAAATTAAGCACATTTTTATAACACAGGCCTGCTTCTATTATAGAATAGGCTTGTTGTAAACATGTTGTAGCAAACCATCTTTTAAAATTTGTAAGCTGGTAATCTGTTGCTTTTAAAGCTTCTGGACTGTGGTCTTTTGTCTCTTTTTGTTTGTGGTCAGTATGCTTCCACTTTAAAGTCTTTGGCCTCAGAATTATGTAACATGAAGCGATCTTGTAAATGTTTAACATGTTTGTTAACTCATTAGCCCAATGTTTTAATGAAGGTGTGAAGCCGTTTTAAATCAAACTGTTTAGCATGTATAGTAAAATAACAAATCAAGAAACTTTACACAAATACATCAACTACTCAGGTACTACTCTCTTCACAGTGTACATTAGAGGAGGGGACAATGCAAATGTTTTGCACTGTTTTCCGAGTAGATGACATAGAACATGACATTTGTTTTCAGGGATGGACAGAAGGAAATTATGCAAGAGAGATAAGGGAAGCCGCCCTAAATTCAGTTTTCCTATAAGTATTTTGAAAGTAATTCAATAAATTTTCTTAACCTTTTAAAAACCAAGAGTTAACAAAACTGGAGATTACTCGTTTTTTACTCTCTCAAGGATAGGTCTCATCCTTAAGTTACGGTGCAATGCCGGGATGATTCGATAACCTTGGATATGTCCAGGGTCGGGTAATTATCAATCAGCTATAAGACTGATCCAAGCTATGTCCTTCCAACGTTTAGATGTAATTTTCTAGCATGGCTCAGGAACAGAAACCTTGGTGGTCATCATGACATTTGAGTTCAGCTGCTACACACTTACCAATCCATCAGTTGAAAACAGACTCTGAGGTGGAGTAAAGGATCTTTCTGGTCTGTTCAGCTCAGTATTCCGCAATATAATTTTCCAATAGAAATTGTTCAAAATTGATCCTATTTTTGGTCCTAATTTTTTGTCTTTGCCTTATTGCAGAGCATCGACAGGGTAGTGTTCGTTGGAAACTTCCTGAGAATCAATATGGTCTCCATGAAATTACTGGCTTATGCAATGGATTATTGGTCCAATGGGCAATTGAAAGCCTTATTCTTGGAACATGAAGTGAGTATCAACAATACTGTATTATAGAAATAGCTCCAGTTTAGCTGAATTAATTAAAACCAGAGTAAGATTTAAATGTACACAATTTAACCATCTAATTGAATTCATTCAACCAAGTTGAAGTCACTTAACATGGATGATGGAGGGGTAGTATCCTACCTCTGGGCCAGAAAGTCCAGGTTCAAGTGCCATCTGCCAAGGAAGTATATCATAATACGTTCAAGCAGTTTGTTTTTGAAAAGGAATGGAGTCAATGGAATCTCATACCAAGGAGGGCACCTGGTGTAAATCTATTAGATTAGGCTTGGATTACTCAATTGGGCTGGTATAGCACAGTGATATTGGCTCAGATATAAAGACAGAAACCTGGATTCAAGTCCCGCCTGCTGTGGAGATGTCTAATAATATCCGTGGACAGGTTGAATAGAAAACTTGCTAGAGTGGAGTTGCATTTATCAAAAATGCAAATGAACTGTGCGTTCTCAAATCCAGTTGTTGTTGAACAAGGTAATTATTACTTTCTTTAAAAAAAAAAAAAAATTCTTTCCCAGAATGTGGGCATTGCTGGTTAGACAGCCATTTAGACAGCCCCAGTACTGTGTGAAAAGTAGTGGTGAGCTAATACCTTGAGCCATTGCAGTCCATGTGTTTGGTGTATGAACGCCCACAAGCACTGCTAGGAAGGAAGTTTGCCTCAGCACCAGTGAAGGATCAATGAGATTGTTCCAAGTTAGAAAGTGTGACTTGAGGGGAACTTGCAGGTGGAGGTTATTGTAATTGGCCAGTTCTTTGTAATGTCAAAGTGCCATGGTATTGTACCAGTAGATGGTGCCCTAAGTACAATGTTATGTTACAAATTGAGATCTGTGGAAAGCCACGTAAAATTACAAAACTGGATATCGACTATTTGCTACTTCTAGAAAACCAGCATAAAAGTGATTTTACACAACCAAGCAGCCTAACTACTGTATTGTCTGAATGAAAACAAATGTACAAAAGCAAAGACCCATCTGTTGAAGTAACCTAGCAAATTTGGCGACGGTAGCACATCCTGTTGATTAAAAACTTTTGGAAACTGAGAAAAAGCTAAAAATGGGTATATGAATATGAGGAAGGAGGAAAAAGATGCATTTAGAAATTGCAAATTTGAATTCCCAACATATAGGCATATGGAAGAGGAGCAGGAATTTTCCACTTAATCATTTGACCGTGCTCCACCATTCAACAAGATAACTACTAATATGATTACTCTACATTTCTGCCTTCTCCTGATAACCTTTCACCTCCTTGCTTATCAAGAATGTATTCGTTCTTTTTAGTGTTGAAAGAGAGCTTCAAAGACTCCGTTCTGAGCAATGTCTTAAATGGGTAACCCCTTTTTAAAATCCCTTAGTTCTAGATTCATTCACAGGAGGAAACATCATTTCCCCACGTGAATCTTGTCTACGTCCCTCAGGATCTTGCATGTTTTAATTAAGTTGCTTCTTGATCTTCTAAACTGTGATTTTAAAGTGTAGCATACCCAAACTATGTTCATAAGATAACCTGCCTATTCCACATGATAGTCTAATAAGTTTTCTCTAATGTCTCCCAATGCATTTATATCCTTCCCTCTATTCCCAGAGTCAACCTAGAGAGCCTTGTCTGGGCTACCTCCAATCCCAGTAGTTAACCGCATCTAGGGTACTGTGAGCTGTTTTGATCCCCTTTTGTAAGGAAAATATCCCAAATGTGGGTAACTGCTGGGATTGGAGGTAGTCCAGAGAGTGTTCATTAGGTTCAACCTAAATATGTGAGATTGAGTAGTTGAACCTGTACTCATTGGAGTTTAGAGTGATGGGGTAACGTTATTGAAACATTAAAATATTCTTTTGGGGGCTTGACAATATAGATACGAAAAAGATGTTTCTACTTGTGTGCGTGTCTAGCACCACAGGGCATAATTTCAGAGTAAGGAATCGCCTATTTCATGGAATCCCCACAGTGTGGAAACAGGCCGTTTGGCCTAACAAGACCACCAGACGCTCCAAAGAGCATCCCGCCCAGACCCATCCCCCGACACTATCCCTGCATTTCCCATGGCTAAGGCACTTAACCCACATATCCCTGGACACTGTGGACATCTTAGCATGGCCAGTCCACCTAACGTGCGTATCTTTGGACATTTCAGATAAATGAGGAACTTCTCAGAGGGTTGTGAAACTGTGCAAATTTTTTCCCACAGAGGTGTGTAGAAAAGGGTCATTAAGTATATTTGAGACTGAGAGACACAGATTTTTAATCAGTAAGTGAATCAAGGGTTTCAAGAAAAAGGCACAAAAGTGGAATAATGGATTATCAGATCACCCATGGACTCATTGGAGCAGACTTGATTGGCCAAATGACTTTGTTCCATTGCTACTGCTTCCTCTGCCCTCAAGGCACACTTACCGAACCATTTCCCTCCCATTTCTTCTTAAGTAAAACTTGTGATGTACCCATTAACCGTGAACATGCAAGTCAGGGCTGAAATATAGTATAATGTTTCTAATGGATGTTGGAAATAATCTAGGGTAGAGAGCTAGCTGAACACACCAATGATCGCACCACCAGGCGTAGGATCTGATCGCTGTGCACAGGATAATATATTGGACTATCTGGATTTCTAAGGTGAAACTCCTTTTCCTATCTGTCATATTGTCAGTAGTAAGCCCTACAAGGTCGAACTGTAGCCCCAGCACCAGCAATCCTTCTGTCACTCACTTCTCGTTGTCAAACAAAGGGCAAAGTAGCCTAACAAATGGTCACAACCCACAGGGTGCAAGCTTGTTGGGAAATTCTCATTCTATTTTCTTTGCCTATTTAACAGGTTTTGGCTCTGTGTTCTTTCATGAAAAGCAGTAATACAACAAAAAAGTTACATAAGTCAAACATAGTAAACTCATGTATGTGCCATAGATATCTTTGATATGTCTACAGATCTATTTACATAGGTTTTAAATATGAATGCAATACTACGTAAATTGTTTCCTACTTAACCTAAATAAACCCTGTTGAAATATAAATCTCACCGTGAAGTGAAATATGGGATTATTGGAATTCTTCTCACCCAACAGATTATGAACATGTGACAACCTCTGGTTTTCACAGAACTGAAAGGGACAGAAACCCACAAAGGCATTCAGTATGTAATTGCTTGTTGGTGGAATAGTAAATAGTGTTTCTGACGTGAGGAGAGTATCAAATTCCTTTTTTAAAAGGTAGGGAAGGAGGGGGGAAAAAGGAGAAATCAAAAATGATTTCACGTACTTTTGATCTCACTGGCTGATTTATGTTACATCTGTGCTGTGTAAGGTTATTCCACTAATTTGTTTTATTGAATAATTGTGCACTTAAATATAACACCAGGAAAAGCCACTGACAGTCCTGTCAAATCTGTTCCTTTTCATCTTTAGGGTTATTTTGGAGCTGTTGGTGCATTGCTGGAATTGCTGAAGATGACAGATGCATACTGAGGTGCGGAGTAGGACACAGGAATTGACAGAGGACGTGTATTTTTAAAAGCTACTATCCAGAATTTAGTGCCAGAATGGAACTTGTCTGATGAAACAATTAACTATTTAGTTTTCATATCAGGTTAAGAATAAATCATTTGCTTTACAGCAGCTACTGTTGTACTGCACTGAGACTCATTTCGAAGGGAAGTTGAGTAATCTATTGTATGTAATGTATATATTTTAAACAATGTGCAAGATAGCCAAAACCAACTGGTTTTATGTATTAATATTTGGAGATAATTTCTGTATAAATGTGTACTGTTCTGAATTTTCTCTCCTGGGATGTACTGCCTTGTGAATGATCATACTGTAATGATTTAAGTATTATTTATAAATTACCTGGAAGTTTTTTTGCCATTTCTCATTTAAAACTACAAAGCTGGAGATGAACCTGTCATTTGTGTAGTGTGTTGATTTTGTTGCCTTTGTAAAACTGTCCTACATATTTATAAAAGATGACCTTTCTTTGAACATGCACAAGTAGTGACCATGGCAGATGTGCTGATTAGACATTCATCTTAAAAGCCTATGCTAATATTTTTTTAGATGAAAGTGCTTGACTGGTCACAGCAAGAAGCTTCTTTGTGTACACACTGTCTTGGCTATGCAAGTGAAGGTACCTTTCCACTAATGTGGAAGTTTTGAATAATTTGTTCTTGTATTTTTAAGAAATGCCACTTCTTAAGAACTACTGTATGATGGAAAATCCATCAATCTACAAAGCCTTGTACTGTGACAGTTCATTGTCTGATCTTTCAAAACTGTATTTAAAAAAAATTGCTATCATTGTACCATGCATTTTGAGATAGATGCCTCTAGTTAATACTAAATATCTGAAGTATGCAGTATATCTGATCACTGAACAAGACCATAAAAATAGGAAAATCTAATGTGGGTACATGTGTGTTAAGAATTGGCTTTCTCATGGAATATATTTCACATTCCATTGATATCATGATATTTCTGACACATTGACTTTAGGTTTGAGGACTTTTTAAAAAAAAATTAATCACATGAAATGTCCTTCTTTGAGTTCCATGATGGCAGGTGGTTGATTGACTTTGACTCTAATATTGTACAGAATTTTAATTGAAATTTTAATTAATATTCCACTGCATAACAGATTTTAACTGAACTCTTCACTTTATGACTTGTGTGTATTGATCTATTTAGTTTAATTGAAGTCTTGCACTTTAAGTGCTGTTGTAACTAGTCATCCTATCTATATTTTGTTCTGTTTTACATGTATATCCTAAAAGAAATGTGACTAAGAGCACTACAAATCAGCATTGTTACATTTTTAAAACAAATTATCAAGATATGCTATGTGTCTACGGCTAGGAGCCAATGTTGTATGCAGTTCATTCTTTGAATGTGTTCCATCTGCTTTTGCCTCCCAGATATTTTGCCAGTCCAATTTGCAAATTTTTCTTGACTAGAAGCTCGTAGCAATCAACTCACTCTGCACCTGGTGCAGAGGGAGTGTGCACCCCACCCTAATTTGGCCATTTATGGAAACTGGTTTCATATGTTTTAGCAGTGAACTAATTCAGTACACCAGCATTTATCTAGTTGACTTTGAAAGAGTGAGCACTCTGAGAAAAGCTGAAACAGATTAAGGTTAGTTGCTGATTTATATAGTTTTTTTTATTCGTGAAATATCACAGTTAGTCATTAAGCTCTGAAGAATGCCATTCAATCCATGCTTCAATAAATAGATCTTACCTATCCTTAGTTGGCTTATTGGAGATGATGAGTGTACTTCTGCTGCAGGCTCAGTGATATAGGTATGCCCATGGTGCTGTTAGGTAGGAATTTTGATCCAGCAACTGAAAGGATGGCAAAATATTTTCAGTTAGATTAGAGTGGAATTGGAAGTGATGGCATTCGGTGCTTGTTCTCCTAGGTATAGATAATGTAGGTTTGGAAGGTGCTGCAGCAGCCTTAGGTTGCTGCAATACAACTTGCAGATGGTACATGGGAGTGATGTTTAAAATATTGATGGGGTGCCAATCAACCTGGCAGTGTAGTTTTAGAAGAATTTGAACTTGGGTGTTGGAGCTGCGTTCTTCCAGGAAAATTGAAGGTATTCCATCACACTCCTGATTTGTGCCTTCCGATGGTGCAGACATTTTAGGAGTCAGGAGGTGAGTTACTTGTAGAACTCTTCTCGCAATTACAGTATTTGCTGGCTGGCCTATTACACTTTCTGGTCAATGGTTAACCTCCCAGGGTATTGATGGGCAATGTGATGATGCCAGTTGTCAAGTTGATATTGTATATCAAGGGGAGCTGGAGATAGTTATTTGTTGGAGATAATCATTGTCCAGTGCTTGCATTAGTGACTATTATTTACCCACTGATCAGAACAACCTGAGTGTTGTTCAACTGTCCAAATAATGCATGTAGGCATGGACTGCTTCATTATCTGAGGAGTTGGAAACAGAACTGAACACTGCAGTCATCAGCAGACGTTATTTGAAATTATAACACTAGTTGAAATAGTTTAACAGTATGTGATATTGGTTCTTAGCCTGTTATTTGTTGTTCTTAGTCTATTTTATTCTGTATAAAATTGAGTTGTAAAGTGTTTTAATCCAATTGGGGAAGTCCTCAAAATTTGAATTTTAAAATAAAGACTTGAGGTATGTCTGATTTCAAATGGTGGTATTTTATTTTGCTTGAAATATAGTTTACTGTAGACCTCACCTAAGTTATCCAGACACTGTAGAATAGATTTTAGGAGACTGCAGATTCATTATCAACATAGTATGGTGTGTAGGCTGATGACAGTTCGTATGTTGAAATACACCAATAGACAAATGATAACAAAGGATACAATGACCCGCATGGTGCACTAAAAGAATTTACTGACTAAAATATTGTAAGCATTATTATGGCAACCCTCTGCAACTGGCTACTTAATCAAAATTGACATTATTAGATTTTCTCAGGTTGGCAGAGAATCCTCTCATCTTTATGGAAACAGGAGTCGGCCATTTAGCCCCTCAAGCGTATTATGCACTCTGATCAAGATTGTTCTGTAACAAAACTTCATAAAGCTGCACTTGCCATGGATCCTTTAACCTTTGGTTAACGAGCATCAGTGAATCTCAGATTTAAAAATAACTGATGCATTGTAATCTGCTCCCATACAAGCAATCACAGATTTTTCATTCACAATTGAATAGCCCTTCTCTTGATCCAGAATCCTCTGGTAAAATAGATTTGCTTGCTTGATTTTTTTTTGACATTTGAGGACATGTTATATTTGATAGCTCTGCTCATAGCAACAGATTGTGAAGTGGCCAAACATGGTCAGGGAAGAGTAATCAAGTTAATATGTGGTCATGCCAGGTGGATGTTGGGTTGAGGTTGTTGAGTTCCGTTCACTTACGGTACTTAATGAGTTAGGGCAGATATTAACCATTTTAAGATTTCCTGGATAAAGCCCGTTCGTTCAGCTTGGTGACTATCTTCATGTCACTGAGCTTAATTTGGGTTTCTTACACTAACTTGAGCAGGAGTACCACGCTAATGCACCACATGACCTCCTTTCAGACAGGGACTGAGAGTTTTGGTGGTCACACTAACTGAGAAGATCGCTTGCTCACTTTGTCCATAGCACAGTCAACATATATATTTGCGTCTGAAATTTACCTTGAATCTGGTCACAACAACCTTCTCCATTGCTATTTCAGCCACTTTTATTTATTAATTTAGAGCTGCGCTAAGACTGAGGCAATATCAGAGACCACCTATATGTCAATCAGTAGCAGGTAAAGGGAGAAAACAACTAGTTATCGGTATAAGACCAGCCATGTTGAAACATGCTGGTTTTTACTTGTTACAATTAATAAAATGGATAGCCGTTGCCACCTAGAATTACATAGAAAAGCCCACAATCTCTGAATTATTTACAGATCAATCATGGTTGAAAACAATGGCCCGGATACTCTACTCCAATGGCAGTGCTGGGCAGATAGTTGTAACTTGCAAAGTTTTGTGTCCTAATAAAATTGCATTTTCAGTCAGCATCTGATTACAGCTGAAACAGAAATGGGCAGCAGATTCTACACATGGACTGAGTTTGGAGGAGGAGAGGACACAGTAGCAGCCGTATTTCAGTCATGTTTTGAAAGATCTCATTGTGTGTGGATTATTGAAGAATAGAAGAACAGTCAGTACAGGGGCTGAAGTTTAGTTGGATTGGGGGAGCAGTCGGATTGTGTTGGCAGTCTGGCTGGGTGGGTAACTCGCTCGGGTGGGTAACTCGCTCAGGTGGGGAGCCAGCTGGGTGTATGCATTCGTGTGGAGTGAAGGGCGGGATTGAAAATAGTTGTTTCAGTGTATGTTCAGGTCAAGTGGATAGATGTGTTGCCTTGGGTGATCAGTTATAGTGCTCAGTTCATTTATGCTGACTAATGAGTTAGGCCAGGTATTAACCAGCGGAGGATTTCCAGGGTAAGCTCCATTTAGCCAGTCCCAGTCTCTGCACTGAGCTCAGTTTTGGAGAGGATCCTGGACAGTGAAAATCAGCCCATTGTAAGTTTAAACCTTGGCAGGTGTGCCTGAGCCTGAACTTCCAGAGTCCCAAAGCCTGACACAGAAACGAGTCCAGATTTTGCTGCTCTGGACATTTAGGCCATGATTTGTTATTTTTATGACTACTTGTTCAGCTTTTTGAAGTGACAGTGAGCATATTTATCATCTGTGAAGTTTTGTAGAGTTCCACTGGGCACATTGTGACTATCTCAATGTGGTGTTGTTTCTTAGCATTTCAGGGGGGTTGAGTGCCTTAGTGTGTGTTATTTTATTATGCCACCTTATGAAGGCAACTCAAATGAAAGTGGTTGAGCTTCCTTGATGATGCTAATACACTGTCCAAGTTTTGCACATGTAGAGCAGTGACCGGAATATTGCTGCACACTGCTGGAAAATCTGTTAGGCAGGTTCCTCTTTGTTCCTAGACTGATGTAACATTTAAGCTTATTTTCATAATTGATTATTCAATCACATTGAGATATTTGAATACTCTATTTAAATTGTATCTAATATATTGCAGACAGTTAATTAAAAGTACAGTCAATGAAAGGCATAATACCACATGTAATTAGATCCAGGGTAGGAGATTGTATTTTCTAGTTAAATTGATTCTAGTTCATTAAACAGCCAATGCAGATGTTAGCATTATTGCTGAAGTAAGAAGGTACTCTTGACCATCTGTGCAGCAGTGTTTGAACAACTAGATGACATTTGTACACGTGTATATGCTCATTGCCTGGCTCAGAAGGAATTTGATTATTCAGTGCAGTCATTCTGTGCAACCAGTGAAGATGTAGCATTCATTAATTTGTTTTAACCAATTAATTGCCACAACCTAAATATTAATTGAACCAATGGCTGTTGCATTGAGTCTCTGAGAAACAACTGAATGTTCATGCTGTCCCAAGTTCTCTATGCATTTAACTGCTTTTTGTGCACTGATTCTTCCAAAGTAAAATTAAATATTAACAGTGTGGAGGCTTGCTGAGAACATAAAATAAGTCAGATGTTAAACTGGTTAAATTAAAAGTGTCTGTTTAACAGCTTCAGTGATCAACTTCTGGCTTTTGCAAGCTTATTCCAGCCCAGATGATTGTTTGCAGAGCAAAGCAAGACAACGTTTTCAAAGACGGCATTTTTGGACGTGACAACTTCCATGCGTTCATGAATTCAGCTATTTATGCTACAAAAGGATTTTTCAACTGTGGAAGATTGTAGACATTGACTGTAGTTAAAGCCTTCCCGCTGCCAAAACTTGAAGGGAAGTTATGCAAAAATATCATCTCCAGAGTAAAATTATTTATATGGGCAGATTTAGACAACGCCTTTGCTGTTGCACTGAAGGCAAACTCTCTTCTGGAGTTAATGGATATAGATTCTTTTAATGAAGCTCGATTATTGTACAAAATAGAACCTTGTACCTAAAGGAATTAAGTCCAAAAATAACTTACTGTAACAATCAGGACATTAACATGGAGTCTATGTGACATAGTAATTCACCCCTATATGGAGTACCTTATTTATTTTAATTCAAAGATTCTGCCAAAGAAAATGCAGCAAAGACTAACTATTATTGTATTTTGTTAAAGATGACAATGGTTTATATTCAATAAATGTGGAGCTGGAGATTTCAAAATGTATTTTTTAATTACTGCACTGATGCTTAAAGCTTCTTGTTTCCATTTACGTCATTGTTCTCTCCATAACCACAGGCAGGCTTGAATAAAACCATACACAACAGAGAAGGGGCATTAACTCTGAAAGGTGTAGGGATTGTGGTTGCAGTACCTCCGGAGCCTGAAGCACACACATCAAATTGACCTTATTGAGGTTTATAAAATCATGAGGGGCATAGATAAGGTCAATGACAAGGGTCTTTTCCCTAGGGTGGGGGAGTTCAAAACTAGGGGACATATTTTTAAGGTGCAACTCCTCCCCCCACCCCCCCACCCCCAGAGTGGCTTGTATGTGGAATGAACTGCCAGAGAAAGTGATGGATGCAGGTACAGTTAAAACGTTTAAAAGACAATTGGACAAGTACATGAATAGGAAATGTTTGGAGGGATATTGGCCAAGCGCAAGCAGGTGGGACTAGTTTAGTTTGAGATCACGGTCAGCATAGCCTGGTTGGACCGAAGGGACTCTTTCCGTGCTGGATGACTCCATAAGTAATACATTACCCATCTAACGTCACAGCTGAGTTATGTGGACTCCTGCCTGAAGCTAAGAGAATTTTTTTCTTTTTTTCAATCCATCTACAGTTCTGTTCCATGGAAGTTAACAGAAGCTGTCATTGGATTTATTCAAGGTTGAGTTAGATATTATGATAGGTAAATAGAGTGGAGTTGAAACCAGATCAGCCATGGTCCTTATTCAATGGTGCAGAAGGATTGAAGAGTTAGATTGTGTCAGGATGATGGATGAGAACACCTGAATTACTTACTGATTTATATTGAGCCTTTGGATGTGTTTTTGTAAAACAAAGACTGCAAGCCAAGTCAGACTGATAACTCCTCGAAGTTAGGTTATCTGTGTGAACCCCCGGGACATTACACAGTGCCGGGTGCCAAGGAAGCTTTAAAGACAGAGACTTCAAAGGATGCCTATATCAGGCAATCTAATTATTTCTCATCAGGAAAACCTACCTCTAAGTTTTATTCCACATGAAGAATGAGTCAAAATTCATATTTGTGTTTTGTCTGTGAATCATGTAAACATCAAATATTGGAGGTGATGGTCTAGTGGTATTATTGCTGGACTGTTAACCCAGAGACCCAGATAATGTTCTGGGGACCCGGGTTGGAATCCCGCCATGGTAGACAGTGGAATTTGAATTCAATAAATATCTGCAATTAAGAATCTAATGATGATTGTGAATCCATTGTCGATTGTTGGAAAAACCCATTTGGTTCACTAATGTCCTTTAGGGAAGCAAACTGCCGTCTTTACCTGGTCTGACTACATGTGACTCCAGACCCACAGCAATGTGGTTGACTCAACTGCCCTTTGGGCAATTAAGGATGGACAATAAAGCGACACCCTCATCCCGTGAATGAATAGAGAATAAAAAAATTCTAAGTGCAAGGGGCATGTGTGTGCAAACATAAAGCCAATGAC